GACGAAGGCGTCGGCGAGGGCGAGCCAGTTGCGATGGTGTATGCCGACGGTGTACCGCCGCTGCGCCTGCTGTAAGAACTCGCTGGTAGACGAGAACTCCGCCCGCAAAGGAAGCAGCGCAGCCGCCAGCAGCGCCACACGCGACATAGCCCCCAGCGTAGCTCGCGGCAGCGCAGCAGGAATGAAGGGTGGAGTCGTCCCGGATGCTCTTAGAGAGGCTGATACCGGTACGACAAGGACAGCGACAGAATGGCGTTGCGTCACAGGAGGAGCAGTGGCGGCAGCAGAGGGCAGAGACGGCAGAGGCAGGGGCGGCGGCTGCGGAGGTGGAGGGGGCGGAGGAGGTCGAGGCAAAGGCGGAGGCACAGGTGGGCTGCTGCTCAGGCTGCTGCTCAGGCTGCTGCTCAGGCTGCTGCTCGGGCTGCTGCTCGGGCTGCTGCTCGGGCTGCTGCTCGGGCTGCTGCTCGGGCTGCTGCTCGGGCTGCTGCGAGGGCTGCTGCGAGGGCTGCTGCGAGGGCTGCTGCTCGGGCTGCTGCTCGGGCTGCTGCGAGGGCTGCTGCTCGGGCTGCTGCTCGGGCTGCTGCTCGGGCTGCTGCTCGGGCTGCTGCTCGGGCTGCTGCTCGGGCTGCTGCTCGGGCTGCTGCGAGGCGAGCCTTGTGCCTGGAGGTCGGGCCGTGGCAGCAGCAGGAGGCTCGGGGACCAGGCTGTCGCGTCGCAGCGGCCGGCCGGGAGAGCTCTGTTGGGGTTGGCGCTGGTCTAGGGCACCAGAGCGTCGTCCATCAGAGCGTGGCCCACCGGCCGGCAGCGCGTGTACCGAGCTGAAGTCCGTGCGACTGGTGCCTTCGGCAGCGGCCGCGGGCGGCTGCAGCCGCTGAGGATCTCCAGGTCGGCTCCCACGGTGGCAGCCGCCAAGGGCAGCCACCATCGTGGGGACGCGCGAAACTTGTGAAAAAGAAAAGAGCGCCAAGAAATCCAAGTTGCAATGAGAAACACCCACCACCTTTGCAAACCAGCTCGCTTCCTGTGTTTGTTGTCGCTTCCGGGAGCTCGCACGCCGGCGTATATGGCCATTCATTAGGGGCAGCCTAGCTAGAGTCCTAGAGAACGCACACCCCCTCTCCCCTTTCTCCCAGTACCTACGTACTTTTTTTAGCGTTCTCTCTCTCTCTCTCTCTCTCTCTCTCTCTCTCTCTCTCTCTCTCTCTCTCTCTCTCTCTCTCCCAGTAAAGCCGTAAGCTAGAAAGTATGATGTATGTACGCACATACGCGAGGTATCTTTTGGAGATCCAGCTTTTTAGAGCGCCGTGCAGAGTTTGTTCACACTTCGAAACGTAAACAATGTCT